TACATGTACATGTACATGTGTTTCATTTCATTGATGTAAGGGTGTGTTAATATTTTGCATCTCATTTAAAAAAAAATTGTTTTTTTTTTAAGGGCTGGGGGGTTGGGGAATTTCAGCATGTAAGAACTAGCTACGCAGAAGCGCATTTCGGGCATAACGACGGGGATGTTTGTCACTAAGTGCCATATATTTTGGCTCTGAAAGGAGCCGTTGGGTTTGATGCGGCCCAGTATGGGCCAAATATGGGTAAAGTTTTTTGTTTTGTTTTTTCAAACTTTTTTTGAAGGATAACAGAGATGACTGGCTTGCGACTTGGCGAAGTTGTAGGTTTTCTGCTGCTACCTTCTCCTCCATGTCCATGCAGGCATTGACAAGAGAACTTGCACCTTTCATGATTGCAAATGTTTTTATGTCATTGAGAAATGTCGCAAATTGTTCATAGTTCTTGACACTTGTGGATGGAGCTCATTCTTGGTCTTCATCCCCATCGCTGTCAGGGTCTGCCGTATCATCGTGAAAGGGCTTCTGCAGATCACTCACAGAGGAGGCTGTACCATTAACTGAGGTTGCCAATTCTTCATCAATGACGACCAGTTCCTGGATGGAGATGTCCAAAGCCTGACGACCAGCAGACTCCAGCGCCTCGTTTTCGGTGGCTGTGGTTTCCTCATCTTCAGACAGTACATCTTCTAAGACTCCACATCGCCGAAAACATTTCTGGATTGTCGAGGCATCAACATCTTTCCATGATTGGTCTACCCAGTAGATGGCCTGCAAAACACCCGTTTTCTTCATCAGTTCAGGGCCGGTCATTTCTTTGTCTGCCTCCAGTTTCTGCAGGATACTTCTTAGTTGCTTCTTCCAGAAATTCAGTTTCAGTGTTTGAATGATGCCCTGATCCATCGGTTGCATCACTGATGTTGTGTTCGGGGGGAGGGGGGGGGGAAGAGAAAAACCAGTTTAATGTTCTTCAGCGGCAGGTGTGGATGGCTAGTGGCGTTGTCCAGCAACATGACAATTTTCTCTTCTTGCGTCCCATCTTCTTGTCGAGCTTCCTCATGTACAGCTCGAAGACATTGCTTGTCATCCAAGCTTTCTTTTTGGCGTGGTACATGTACGTAGTCCACAGGAAGATCTGCTCTCTTGAGTCTACCAAAGCACCTTGGTATGATGGACTTCCCAATGACTAGCGGCTGTTTCTTCTCTCCGAGGGCATTAGCGCACAGCATTACCGTGATTCGCTCCTTGGATCGTTTTCCATCAGAGCAATCTACTCCCTTGATGTGATGTGAGTAATCAATGGAATCCTTGAAGAAGAGGCCGGTCTCATCCATGTTGTAGATGTCCTGGAGGTCGTAACCAGAAGTAAGTTCCGGGACTTTCTTCATCCAATCCTCAACACTGTTGCTGTATACGCCACCTTTCTCACCACTCATCTTCCTGTAGACAATGCTGTGGCGCATCTTGAAAGACTCCAGCCAGCCGTTTGATGCCATGAAGTCAGAAACCCCAAGCTCCTTTGCGATTGCCAGCACCTTTTCCTGAAGGAGAGGTCAGGACACGGGGAACATTCTTGCAGTAGAATCCTTAAACCACTCAGCAAGGCAGTGATCTCCTCGTTACCCGTCTTGCGAATTTTCCTCTTGCGATCAAGAGGAACATTCCCCTCAAACTCTTCCAGCCACTCACTCTTCCTCTTGACAATGTTCTGGACTTGAGTTTTACCGCAGTGGTGGCCTCGCATGCCCAGATTGTCGACAAAAGTGCGACAACTCATCTTCTTTTCATTGTGCATCTTGATGACTTCGATTTTCATCTCCAGCGACAGCTGATTTCGAGACGACTTTCCTGGATTCGGACTCGAAGAATTCGGAGCCATATTCTCTCTTTATCGGATGTCTTCAAGGAAAGATATAACCTGAAGACCAGTTTACCTGCTTACCTCCACTTTCTTCGCTTCTCTCTTCGCCTGTAAGAAAATGGCCAAAAATATGCTTTATTCGATGATAAGTTAACCCCAATTCCCTATGATATACTACAAACCATACCCATTCTGGCAAATTCCAACACGATATGAGAAACTGCACACACATATTTCTCACTTTTTTTGCCCTTTTCACACTAAACAAATGTCGGGTTGACGCAGGGTTGACGCAGGTTTGAAAACATGCATCGTTACACTGAGATTCATTTCGCTCCAGACAGGTTGAAATTCTTGCCAGGGTTCAAAAGAGTAGAAACTGAGCATGATAAGCTTGATTTGCACGAAACAAGTGTGAAATGATGCGGGGTTGAACATGGGGTTGAAAAATCAAAAACTCAACCTGGGATGGCACTGGGTTCGCCCAGGGTTGAGTGCAACCCGGGTTGAGAGGCTCTAGTGTGAAAAGGGCTGGAGGTGTGCCAACCCAATGTAAAAGACGGTCAATGTAGTGGTACTGTACCCATCCTGACAGATTCCAACAAAACATGCCGTTGGGGTTTGATGGGTTGAGTTCTGCTAGGGTGAAGGATTCTTGAATATTTTCAGATTTGTTTTCTTATTACTGCAATTTGTATCGTTATGAATTACCAGGATGAATTGATACATACTTCCCTCATCCTCCTCCTGGAATTCTCCTTTTGCTTCTGCCGCCTCATTTGCTCGCTTTGTTTTTTTGTATACATATCTAAGAAAAACATAAAAGAATTGGTAAGTGAAACTGAGATGATCGATAGGTGAAATATACATGAACATCAACATTTGGATAAGGCAGGTTGGCTAATAATTTTTTTTGTAATTTGGCACATGAAAAGCCCAAGCTGGAAGCAATAAATGTCGCTAAATTTAAGTGTCTTATGTTTGAGAAAAAGCGAATCAGTGTGAGCTAGGTAACTTGTAAATCTTTTCTCTGCAAATGTAAAAGTCGATTTAGTAAACTCTGTGCTGAATTTCCCCACAGCCTCCTCTGGCACTTCCTCCACAGCCTCCTCTGGCACTTCCTCCACAGCCTCCTCTGGCACTTCCTCCACAGCCTCCTCTGGCACGACTTTCTCTCCTCCCTCCTCCTCTGGCACGACTTTCTCTCCTCCCTCCTCCTCTGGCTTCCTCCTCTTCCTCTGCCTCTCTTCCTCTTCCTTCTTTGCCTTCTTAGCCTCTCTCTTTGCTTCCCTCCTCCTCCTCGAGTAACCCCTCTGCCTCCTCCTCTGCATGTCACCACTTTGCTTTTTTCTATTCATATTTGACTCTGGCTCGTCTTCTTTCTCTCCGAAATGAGTTCTTCTCTTATTCCAGCTGGCGAGAGAAAAATATAACATTTGACTACACTTGGAGAATCTTTACCAGTAAAGGATGTTTTTTCTTTGCCAATGAGGTTGTTGAAGTGTATTCACTTTAACAGGATGTTCTTAATTCCAGCCTTATGAGGCGTTTGACCTATGAGGCGGAATATAAATGTTTTGCCTCATACGTCCGACGCCTCATAAGTCCGGAGTTATGAGGCGTCAGACCTATGATGAGGCGTAGGACTTATGATACGGCCCCTTACGAGTTGATTACTTCCTCTTGGCATGATTTTCACACCGCCCTAACCAATATCTGATGTCTACACTCATAACAGCCCCAAAGTATCAAAGGCGCACCTTTGCCATTGTTTTCTTCAACCCCAGGTGTCCAGCCATCTGTCCTCCATGATGTTCGGCTAACACTTCATTTCTTAGGCATGAACGTATTTACAATTGATTTTGACATCAAGGGAATAACAGTGTGAGGAGCCGGTCTTCATTGCGTGATAATGACCAGGTTTGGGGGTGACCGCTGTTAATGGACGGAGACGAGGTCGAGGTCCATTAACAGCGGTAAGCAGGTCTTAATCAATCTTAAGACAATCTTAAGACCAGATTGTAACCTGCTTACCTCTGCTTTCTTCTCTTCTCTCTTAGCTTCTCTCTTCGCCTATAAGAAAATGGCCAAAAATATGCTTTATTCGATGATAAGTTAACCCCAATACCCTATGATATACTAGGAACCACATCCATTCTGGCAAATTCCAACACGATATGAGAAACTGCACACACATATTTCTGACTTTTTTGCCCTTTTCACAATAAACAAATGTCGGGTTGACGCAGGGTTGACGCAGGTTTGAAAACATGCATCGTTTCACACTGAGATTCATTTCGCTCCAGACCAGGGTTGAAATTCTTGCCAGGGTTCAAAAGAGTAGAAACTGAGCATGATAAGCTTGATTTGCACGAAACAAGTGTGAAATGATGCGGGGTTGAACGTGGGGTTGAAAAATCAAAAACTCAACCTGGGATGGCACTGGGTTCGCCAAGGGTTGAGTGCAACCCGGGTTGAGAGGCTCTAGTGTGAAAAGGGCTGGGGGTGTGCCAACCCAATGTAAAAGACGGTCAATGTAAGTTGTACTCTACCCATCCTGACAGATTCCAACAAAACATGCCGTTGGGGTTAGATGGGTTGAGTTCTGCTAGGGTTAAGGATTCTTGAATATTTTCAGATTTGTTTTCTTATTACTGCAATTTGTATCGTTATGAATTACCAGGATGTAATGATACTTACTTCCCTCCTCCTCCTATTATCTTCCTTCTTTTTTTTCCTCCTCACTTCGTACGATTGCTTCTTGGTATACATATCTAAGAAAAACATAAAACAATTGGTAAGTGAAACTGAGATGATCGATAGGTGAAATATACATGAACATCAACATTTGGATAAAGCAGGTTGGCAAATAATTTTTTTGGTAATTTGGCACATGAAAACCCGAAGCTGGAAGCAATAAATGTCGCTAAATTTAAGTGTCTTATGTTTGAGAAAAAGCGAATCTGTGTGAGCTAGGTAACTTGTAAATCTTTTCTCTGCAAATGTAAAAGTTGATTTAGTAAACTCTGTGCTGAATTTCCCCACGCTAGGAGTCCATAATTGATGTAGGACAAAATTAAAAGTGTTGTATGAAGTGAGTGCCATTCTCATTGTGGTGGTGACCTTATTCACATGGGATCAAAGATTGTTAAAAGTTAGGTCTACCTGCAGTGGAAACTGGCAACACCAGAGCAACTGCTGCTAGTTTAGCCATCAATGGCATGATGTCTCCCAGCCTTGAAGTGATGGTCTGCATCATTTCAGAGGGAGTTAGAGTCAAGTATTCCTGGTGCATGAGGTTAATTAAAACATCATACTCGACTCTTGCTCCCTCAAAGTCAATGCTGAACCTGTCGCACAGGGTCTGTAATTATAGGAAAATCATATCATAAAGAGATGAAATGTGAATATAATACATTATTCCACATTAGATTGGGCAAAAGTCAGTCAAATGAGATACATTGAATTCATTGTCACAGTGAGCACATACCTCCAGTTCCAGGTATTGTTGCAGGTCCACATCAGCTGGATTGAAAACATTGAACGCTTTCAGGATGTGGTTATCTGGGAATCGCTGCTCAATGTTTTCAATCACTTTGGCCAAATACTTCTTGAAGATCTAAAGCAAGTATAAGAAAAGAAGAGTTAAGCTGTACCTCCGATTATGAATAAGTTTCCTGCATCTATTTTTCTGGCAAACAGCAAAGCCGGTAACACTCAATTATTACCTGTTTCATGAACTTCTCCCTGTCCCCTGTCTTGATGATGATTTTCTGTTCTCTCAAATCGTCGATGACCTGGTCAGTTGTGTGAAGATATTGTCCTCCCTCACTGTCTTGGAGCTTTTTAGTGATGCTAGTGTGCCATCGATGTGCATATCAATGACAGTGAAGTCCAAATATCTCTTCTGTTTAGGTAAATAATAATGTGATTCATGAAAGTAGGCCCTCAAACTATATGTGACCGGTTCTGTCAAAAGTAGGCTTTTTGGGTCCCCCCCCCCAAAAACAATGAGTTTTGTGTAATTTTAAACTACAACCCCTCAGTTTTCATTTGATACTTCATTTATTTAATCCTTGGCCGATAAAAAAAAATTAAGTATCAAATTAAAGCTGAGGCATTGTACTGTAACAAATTACACAAAACTACTTGGGGGCGGGGCACAAAAGCCTACTTTTGCCTGAGCCGCTCACGTCTAAAAAAAAAAAGGGGAAATTAAAACTTGCCTGAAATATTTTGGACAATCTGGCAAGCAGTGGGAGAACATCACACAACATCAAGAGTGTGGCAACAAAATCATACGTCTTGGCAAAAGTTGCCAACCCAAGGGCCACAGCCTCATGTCTTTCCGAGGCCTCCCTCTCTAGACTCATGATAACTGCAGGTAGTGTTTTCCTCAGTGCATCTACAGCAGCATGATGGGACAGCCACCGGACATCTTTTGCCTGCTTCAGTTTCAAATGTGGTGAATGCACAATATCCTTGAAATGTAATGAGTGAAATACAAAATTGAATTGGATAAGGAACTGCTTATAGTTAACCATGATTTTGCTCCTCCAAAATATTATTACAAGCAATTTCACATCAACCAGACAGAGTGAGGCCAATATATTTCATTCTTAATTTCGGCTGACCTGTATTGCTTTTAGCCCACTTGTTCGCACCGATGAGTACTCATAGAAGCGAAACAGTTGTCCGAGTATGCTCTTGAACTTCAGGAGATATGGGATGCCTTCAGCTGACTGTGCAGCAGCTAAGGCAAGACGATGAGCAATGCAGTGTATGTTTACAAGCTGTTTGTTTGTGCTCCGTAGCTTAGCTGCAACCTGTACACAGGTATAAAATTGAACAGAAACCAATAGTTGTTATTTATTCTGGCAATATCCTTAACCCTAACCCACCTCACTCCTCCAAAATCCTCCTGGCGGTTTTGGAGGATTCTAGAGGATTGAGGATGAATGGTGATTGAATCAAATGAGGATTCTGGAGGATTGAGGATGAATGGTGATTGAAGCACATGAGGATTTTGGAGGATTGAGGATGAATGGTGATTGAAGCACAAGAGGATTTTGGAGGATTGAGGATGAATGCATTTTGAGGCAGGACTGTCTGATGATTTTGAAGGATTTGGCGTTGGTTATCCTTCATTTAAACACGAGTGCAAAGTTTTGGGATGAGGAGGATTTTGGAGGATTGAGGATGAATGCATTTTGAGGCAGGACTGTCTGACAATTTTGAAAAATTTAGGCGGAGTTGCAAAATTTTGGAAAATTTTGGAGGATTGAGGATGGTTGTAAGCAACAAGGGCCTAGGGGGTTAGGGCTAAGTAAAAAAATACTATGTCTGCAAAGATCATGTATGAATCAAGATGCAAAACTGAGAACACATACCCCGTTGTGTTGGCCCACCATAACATTAGCACCATCTGATCCCAAACCCACAAACTTTGTCTGGGGTAGGCTCAAGGATTGGAGCATGTCTTGCACTGCAGTTGTTATAGTTTGTGCGAGACCATTAGGTAGATCAACCACTTGGAGGAAAGAGGTAGTCACCTGCAACATTAAACAAATCTGTTTGAATATCGATTTTTAAAGAGTGTCAAAAATTCTTGAACAAGTTAAACAAAAACAATTGAAAATATGTAAAAACAAAAATATATATAATGCATTTTGTAAACCAAACAGATAAAATCATACCTTCCCAGATTTCGGGGAGAGGTACTGGGCAAAGATTATGAGTTGATTGAGCACAGCAACATCTGTTGTTTCATCTATGAGGAGGCTGAAGCATGGGCTTTCTTGTAAGCTCTTGTGGATCTTTTGCCGGGTTACAGTGGCGAGAACCTCAATCATCTCCTGCATCGTTCGTTCTGACCGGTAGTTTGCATTAGCACCCTGAAATAAGTTCGAAAAAGAAACATGAAAGAAACATTGCTTGAAAAATATTATAATGCCTATAGAATACACTTTATTTAATTTTAAAGCGCAATTTTGAATCAATTTACCTGGTCAAGATTAGTCAAGTACGTGCAGCCAACATCTCTAACAAGGTCCAGTAATGGACTGTAGTTGGTTGTGTGTGGAACTTCTTGCTTTGCCAGCCAGTACATACAACGAAGACTAGCAAGAAAAGCCATCCGTTGTAAGCTGACTTGATGCTGTAGTGCTTCTTTAATTCCTTGCGTGGACCGTGCACTGGCCTCCAATGTCACAGCGTTTTTGTGGATTCCGCTCTGTGCATGCCGATCTAAACTCTGTTTGGTGATTGAGGTGCAAGGAAGATTCACCCATACCAATGTCTCCCGCCGCCCAATGAAATGCTTCTGGCACAAGGAGCACATCATTCCTGCATTAAGCAAGCAAAATTTCATCAAAAACCGAAATGCCCGATACTGAAAATTTGATGAATTATTGAAAGTACATGTTTTTTTTTTAATCCAAATAGGTCTCATTTTAAAAAATATATTTTTAAGAGTGCTCAAGTTATTATTTCTTTTACATCTTGTTGATATCTTATCTTCGAAAACTGTCCCTATAAACAGAGACATTCCGTGTTTACAGGGACACATTTTGTCCCCCGATCGGGGGATTTCTGCGTTATTGAGGACAATCCGCGAGTTAGTGCGTGCGCCCGTACTGTTGAACATACCTGTTTCGTCGGCAGTTGCTTGGAGCCACGAGTAGCTGGTAAACCATTTTGGATCGATACCCGTTTTTCGTTTTTTCTTGTCCTTGGCCGTTTCTCCCGGCTCCAGAGCTGCCCCTTTTTCGGTTCCCGTGCACGTGCCGGAGCTTCCAGGTCCATCGCACTCTGAATTTCCCCTTTTCGCGGGCGTGCACTTTATTGGCTTAAAGAATAGACCGATTTTTGACTGCTTATCTGCCATGATTGTACACAGAGAACTGTGGCAGCGAAAAACTTTGTAACCTCAATCTCGGTAATTTTACACGAAACGAAGCGTGATCGTACCTGTCCGGGATCGACGTTGCACGAAACGGCATGGCTGCAGCTAGCTAGCCAGCCGGAGACACGTTGTGTGCATACATCGTACATAATGTACACGTCCATGTACAGTACAAGGTATGCACACAACGTGTACGTTGCTGTACTGTGGCCGGCTATCTAGACTCGACGTTGATCGCCAGCGCACACGGCCTCAGCCGGGCGCAGGAAACTCGTTCGGCGGTAAGCATAGGTCTTGACGTAATGCACACATGACATCATGCATCAAAATTCAGAAATTTATGCTTTTTGGGTCAAGATTTTTTATTGTCAAATCGAGTAATGACGTTTGAAATGATTATACCGTGCGTGTTAATGGTGTTTGCAACAATAATATTGTGCATATCGGGGCTTGAAAAAACTGACCGGTATTTTTTTCTGTGTATCGGGCCTAAATTCCAGCGTATCGGGCCGATACGCACGTTTGTACGTGGGGAGAAGCCTGTCATTAGAAGAAAAAGTTTCATAATTTATTGACATTACGCCAGAAATCTTCTGATAGTACATAACAAATAGTACTACATTGTATTCTGCACATTCTTTGTTGTGGAATTCGCTCCCTCATGAAATATAAAATGTACAGTACAAACTTGTCCTTTATTGGGGCCATGAATATCGTTCATGCCTGATAGCCTGTGGATTGGCACATCTCATGGATGAGTATACATCTCTTAATCTAGTTCTTGAGAGAGAAATCTAACAAAAGACTATGCTTTTTGTTGGAGAAAGATGGTCCTCTTCCTTTGGCATTTAGGTAGTTATACGATGATCCTTCTTGAACAATGGCATTTGGAAGATCCTCCTCCTCCTTCAGATTGGCACTTCTCGTTGATGAGTACTTCTCTTATTCTAGCTGGCGAGAGAAAAATATAACATTTGACTACACTTTGAGGCTCTTTACTGGTAAAGGATGTTTCCCTCCTCCTCCTATTATCTTCCTTCTTTTTTTTCCTCCTCACTTCGTAAGATTGCTTCTTGGTATACATATCTAAGAAAAACATAAAACAATTGGTAAGTAAAACTGAGATGATCGATAGGTGGAATATACATGAACATCAACATTTGGATCATTTTGTTTGTAATTTGGCACATGAAAAGCCCAAGCTGGAAGTAATAAATGTCGCTAAATTTAAGTGTCTTATGTTGGAGAAAAAGCGAATCAGTGTGAGCTAGGTAGCTTGTAAATCTTTTCTCTGCAAATGTAGAAGACGATTTAGTAAACTCTGTGCTGAATTTCCCCACGCTAGGAGTCCATAATTGATGTAGGACAAAATTAAAAGTGTTGTATGAAGTGAGTAAAATATGTTAGGGAATATAAAATTGAAGCCTTAATAATGGCTATATTTTTTTAAACATAATTGATGTCCCTTCTGTCCCCGCAACTTCCCTTCGCTCTTCTTCATCCTTCTGGGTCTTTGCGGGGATGATGTACACCTTTTGAATCTGACATCTGGTGAAAAAAATTAGCACTTTTGTTCAGCATCCATTTGAAGCTGCGACTAATCCAAGATAGCTCTTGTTCACGTCTTAATGGGTTATGAACTTATCATAAAATAATGGACTTGAGACTTGACTTGATTTGCAAAAACTTGACTTGGGATTTGACCTGACTTTGAAAAAAATTATGCCTCTTGAATATGACATCTTGTGAGAAAATTGGTGCTCCCTCAAGAACAACGTGCTTCAATGATTTCATTTCACATTTCATTTCATCATTAACTGAGGTTGCCAATTCTTCATCAATGACGACCAGTTCCTGGATGGAGATGTCCAAAGCCTGATGACAGGCAGACTCCAGCGCCTCGTTTTCGGTGGCTGTGGTTTCCTCATCTTCAGACAGTACATCTTCTAAGACTCCACATCGCCTAAAACATTTCTGGATTGTCGAGGCATCAACATCTTTCCATGATTGGTCTACCCAGTAGATGGCCTGCAAAACACCCGTTTTCTTCATCAGTTCAGGGCCGGTCATTTCTTTGTCTGCCTCCAGTTTCTGCAGGATACTTCTTAGTTGCTTCTTCCTGAAATTTAGTTTCAGTGTTTGAATGATGCCCTGATCCATTGGTTGCATCACTGATGTTGTGTTCGGGGGGGGGGGGGGGGGGGGGGAAGAGAAAAACCAGTTGAATGTTCTTCAGCGGCAGGTGTGGATGGCTAGTAGTGTTGTCCAGCAACATGACAATTTTCTCTTCTTGCGTCCCATCTTCTTGTCGAGCTTCCTCATGTACAGCTCAAAGACATTGCTTGTCATCCAAGCTTTCTTGTTGGCGTGGTACATGTACGTAGTCCACAGGAAGATCTGCTCTCCTGAGTCTACCAAAGCACCTTGGTTTGATGGACTTCCCAATGACTAGCGGCTGTTCCTTCTCTCCGAGGGCATTAGCGCACAGCATTACCGTGATTCGCTCCTTGGATCGTTTTCCACCAGAGCAATCTACTCCCTTGATGTGATGTGAGTAATCAATGGAAGCCTTGAAGAAGAGGCCGGTCTCATCCATGTTGTAGATGTCCTGGAGGTCGTAACCAGAAGTAAGTTCCGGGACTTTCTTCATCCAATCCTCAACACTGTTGCTGTATACGCCGCCTTTCTCACCACTCATCTTCCTGTAGACAATGCTGTGGCGCATCTTGAAAGACTCCAGCCAGCCGTTTGATGCCATGAAGTCAGAAACCCCAAGCTCCTTTGCGATTGCCAGCACCTTTTCCTGAAGGAGAGGTCAGGACACGGGGAACATTCTTGCAGTAGAATCCTTAAACCACTCAGCAAGGCAGTGATCTCCTCGTTACCCGTCTTGCGAATTTTCCACTTGCGATCAAGAGGAACATTCCCCTCAAACTCTTCCAGCCACTCACTCTTCCTCTTGACAATGTTCTGGACTTGAGTTTTACCGCAGTGGTGGCCTCGCATGCCCAGATTGTCGACAATAGTGCGACAACTCATCTTCTTTTCATTGTTCATCTTGATGACTTCGATTTTCATCTCCAGTGACAGCTGATTTCGAGACGACTTTCCTGGATTCGGACTCGAATAATCCGGAGCCATATTCTCTCTTTATTGGATGTCTTTAAGGAAAGATATAACCTGAAGACCAGTTTACCTGCTTACCTCCGCTTTCTTCGCTTCTCTCTTCACCTGTAAGAAAATGGCCCAAAATATGCCTTATTCGATGATAAGTTAACCCCAATTCCCTATGATATACTACGAACCATACCCATTCTGGCAAATTCCAACACCATATGAGAAACAGCTTACACATATTTCTGAATTTTTTTGCCCTTTTCACACTAAACAAATGTCGGGTTGACGCAGGGTTGATGCAGGTTTGAAAACATGCATCGTTACACTGAGATTCATTTCGCTCCAGACCAGGGTTGAAATTCTTACCAGGGTTCAAACTGAGCATGATAAGCTTGATTTGCACGAAACAAGTGTGAAATGATGCGGGGTTGAACGTGGGGTTGAAAAATCAAAAACTCAACCTGGGATGGCACTGGGTTCGCCAAGGGTTGAGTGCAACCCGGGTTGAGAGGCTCTAGTGTGAAAAGGGCTGGAGGTGTGCCAACCCAATGTAAAAGACGGTCAATGTAAGTTGTACTCTACCCATCCTGACAGATTCCAACAAAACATGCCGTTGGGGTTAGATGGGTTGAGTTCTGCTAGGGTTAAGGATTCTTGAATATTTTCAGATTTGTTTTCTTATTTCTGCAATTTGTATCGTTATGAATTACCAGGATGAATTGATACATACTTCCCTCATCCTCCTACAATCCTCCTTTTTCTTCTTCCTCCTCACGTCATAGCTCTGTTTTTTTGTATACATATCTAAGAAAAACATAAAAGAATTGGTAAGTAAAACTGAGATGATCGATAGGTGAAATATACATGAACATCAACATTTGGATAAGGCAGGTTGGCAAATCATTTTTGGCACATAAAAGCTGGAAGCAATAAATGTCGCTAAATTTAAGTGTCTTATGTATGAGAAAAAGCGAATCAGTGTGAGCTAGGTAACTTGTAAATCTTTTCTCTGCAAATGTAAAAGTCGATTTAGTAAACTCTGTGCTGAATTTCCCCACGCTAGGAGTCCATAAT